TCTTGGGCGGCTCCTGGGCCATCTTGGGGCTCTCCTGGGCCGTCTTGGGACGATTTGGGGGGTCTCTTGGGCCGTCTTGGGGCGGTCTTGGGGGCCTCTTCGGCAGTTTTGAAACGCTTTTGGGAGACTCTTGGGCGGCCTTGGAGCGTCGGAACCCCGAAAAAGCGAGAAGGCCAAAAACTTTGAAAAAAAACAATGCAAATCAACGATGTTGGCTTGTCGGGGCTCTCTTGGGAGGCCTCTTGGGATGCCTTCGGGGCCTCATGGAGCTCTCTTGGAACGTCTTCGGGCCTTCCTGGCCATTCCTGAGGCTATCTATGGGCTACCCTGTTGGCTGCCGGGACCGTCTTAGGCGGTCCTTGAGAAGGTCGTTTCATGGCGGTCCCAGGGGCCCCTCCGGGGACGCTTCGGAAACGCTCCCGGGGCGGCCTGGCACACCCCATGGAGATGACAGGCACCGCCCCGGGGCCCTACTCCGATACATATATATATATATATATATATATGTGTGTGTGTGTGTGTACACACGGGTATACATATACATACATACACCGGGGGACGTGGCCGGGGGGGTCCCTGGCGGGGAATGGGGGGCCCGGGGCCTTACTTCCTTTGTGCTTTTACAAAGTTTCGCCGGCCGAGAGCCACCAGAGCCCCAAGAGGTTGCAGGGAGCTCCAGGGGCTGCCCCCGCCTGGTTCCCCAGGTCTCCCACAGGCCTCCCAGAGGCTTCTAGGAGAGCTCCCCAAAGCTCACACACTTGGTTTTCCCATAGTTTTCCCACGTTTCTCTTCATGCAGTCTGTTCTGCATCCCCACGCAGCGCGGCAGCCCCCGAGGGCGCCCAGACCGTCCCGGTTCGGCCCCAGACGCTCCCAACCTTGTCCCCAGGTGGCTCTGCATGGGAGGATCGGCGCGCTAGGGACACAGAGCGGCCAGGGACGCTCCAAGATCCTTGCGACGCCGTCGAGCACCCCAAGACAGCCCCCCGAACGATTTCGTGGACACGTCATGCTTCGAAGAGGCCTCCCTGGAGGGCTCTCTGAGGCCTTGCTCCTTGTGTTTTGTCCAATGGCTTCTCCACGTTCTCACTCATCCAGCTCGTTCTGCATCCCAACGCCGCACGGCTGCCGAAGAGGACGTCCAGACTGATGTGGTTCGGGCCCCCGGGGCTCCCAACCGTGATCCAAGACGGCTCCGCACGGGAGGGCCGGCGCCCCCAAGTAGGCTCCACGAGCCGCCAGAGTCGCCCCCAGGCCTGCGCGACGCCGACGATCGCAGACAGCCCTCCGAACGACTTCGTCGACGCGGCATGCTTCCAAGAGGCATCCCCGGAGGGCTCTCTGAGGCCTCGCTCCTTGCTTTTCCCATGGTTATCCACGCTTTCATTCATCCAGCTTGTTCTGCATCCCAACGCTGCACGGCAGCCTAAGAGGACGCCCAGACCGATGCGGTTCGGGCCCCTGGGGCCCCCGACCGCGATCCAAGACGGCTCCGCTCGGGAGTGCCAGCGCCCCGAAGTAGGCTCCACGAGCCGAGTCGTTTCCAGGCCTGCGCGACGCCGACGATCGCCCCATGGCAGCTCTCCAGGCCACCCCGCCACCAAAAGAGGCTTCCCAGAGGCTTCCCACATGGGCCCATGAGGCTCAACTCCTAGTTTTTTTATGGTTTCTCCGGGGTTTCTGGCCGCCCAGCCTGTTCTGTTTGTCGACGGTGCTAGCTCGTCCTAGCCTAGAGGTTCTTAACTGCGGCTCCAGAGAACGAAGAACCCCGAACACCCCAACACTGCCGATTAGGGCAACGAGAGAGGCCTGGGGGCCTTTGCGGTCGCCAGGGGCGGTCTCGACACTGCTGATTGCGTCTCGACGTCCCACGACGGAGCCAAAGACCTGTCACATAGCTCAACAGATGGGTGGGGAGGAGAAAGAAAACGAGGACAAGGAGGAGGGCATGATGAGGACGAGGAGGGGGAGGAGGAGGAGGAGGAGGAGGAGGAGGAGGCGGAGGAGGAGGCGTAGGAGGAGGAGGAGGAAAAAACACAAAAAACAGGAGGAGGGGGAGGAGGAGGAGGAGGGGAGGAGGAGGAGGAGAGGAGGAGGAGGGGAGGAGGCGGGGGAGGAGGAGTGGCAGGAGGAGGAGGCGGAGGGAGGAGGGAAGAGGAGGAGGGGGAGGAGGAGGAGGGAGGAGGAGAGGAGGAGGAGGAGGAAAGGAAGAGGAGGAGGAGGAGGAGGAAGCGGAGGAGGTGAGACGAGGACGAGGATAATGATGATGATGATGATGATGATGATGATGAGGATGAAAATGATGATAATGATGATGATGATGATGATGCTGATGATGATGATGATGATGATGATGATGCTGATGATGATGATGATGATGATGATGATGATGATGATGATGATGCTGATGATGATGATGATTATGCTGCTGATGATGATGATGATGATGGTGATGATGGTGATGATGATGAGGAGGAGGAGGACGACGAGGACGAGGGCGAGGACGTGGACGAGGACGAGGACGAGGAATGGAGGGCGGAGGAGAAGGCGGAGGAGGAGGAGGAGGAGGAGGAGGAGGAGGAAGAGGAGGACGAGGAGGAGGAGGAGGAGGAGGAGGAGGAGGAGGAGGAGGATAGGAGGAGGAGGAGGAGGAGGAGGAGGAGGAGGAGGAGGAGGAGGAGGAGGAGGAGGAGGAGGAGCGAGGAAGGAGGGGATAGGAGGAGGAGGAGGAGGATAGGAGAGGAGGAGGAGGAGGAGGCAGGAGGAGGGGAGGAGGAGGAGGAGGAGGAGGAGGAGGAGGAGGAGGAGGGTAGGAGGAGGAGGAGGAGGAGGAGGGAGGAGGAGGAGGAGGATAGGAGGAGGAGGATAGGAGGAGGAGGCTAGGAGGAGGAGGAGGAGGTGGAGGAGAGTGGAGGAGGAGGAGGAGGAGGCAGGAGGAGGAGGAGGAGATCGGGGGCGACGATATGGAGGGGATACATCAACTCCCGTGCGCGCCCGCTCATCGCCGACAGGGCCCGTTGGCCCGCCCTGCCGGGAACCTGCGGATTCAGGATGGGGGGCCTTTCGCCGACCTGGCGGCGATGCAGCGCCGATTCCAGCTTGACGTTTCCCCCGCCCCTCCCTGGGCTGGCCCCCCTCCCATCCCCCAAACGTTCCCCTTCAGGAGGGGAAGAGGGGGGAGTCGACTCCCGAGAAA